TCAACACTTAAGCCAGGCATTAAAGAGATTTGCAAAAATGTAAACAAAGACACTTTTCACTAAATATTTTATTTTAGAAAATAGTTATTGTTCATAAAAATGTTACTTATGTTAACATGTAATAGGTTATTTTTAGTGAGTTAATAAATATATTTTAAATTTCTCAGTTTTAGTTTCTATTAAGTATTGAGTAATTCACATCAAAGCAACATTATCCAGTATTACTGTCATATACCAGCACAAATTAGCATCCTACACAGTCACCTCATTGAATCTTGACAAACCTATGAGGTAAGTGGTACTATTCCTATTTACCAGCGAGAAAATTAAGTCTGCAAAATTAATTCCCTTGCCCAAAGTACCCCAGAAAGAAAGTGGCCAAACCAGCAGAGTAGTAACCAGGTCTTTAATTGCTACACTATACTGAGTTCATGAGTAGATACCAAAGCGTGACAGGCTTTCCATAAATAAGTGGTAAGCTGTTGAATGCTGAGAAAAATTGGTATTTTAAAAGTAATGAATAGAACTGCATGACTTACTTTATATATCTCTTCATATGTTTCTTCATCAATTTCTATAGTAGTCACAGTTTCTTCCACATCACCCAATATCATATTTAAATGTTGATCATAAGCCTGAAGTGGGAGGGTGAGGGACCACAAAGTTCAATAATCAAATTAGGAAATCATGAACAGGGTTTACAAAATACAAACAGCTCAATTGTAAGTAATACAATACTTACAAACTTTTACATGTATATAAGAAATGACCCTGCTCTATTAGTAACATACTATTTCTTCCCAAATCATTTCCAATGACAATTTAGTGGACCTGATACAAATACTAAACTTTTTAATGGTCAAAAATAAATTTACTCAAAGTAACTTGAAATTTCTTAAAGTGTTATCCACCCTGTTATCCAAGGCAGTCACATCAATTATAATAATTATGAAAAACAGCATATGCATCACTTTTCAGTAGCCTTCTTTCAATTCCATCTGTAACAGCATGACAAGAAAGATAAAGGACATAATATTCTTTGCTTTAACTGTGAAGGTGATGGCACTGTAGTTCCTAAAGGCACAAGACACTCTCATTCAACCCACGCTATCCCAAACTAAACACAAGGTAAATTAAGGAGCAACCATCTGCCCATTTATAACCCAGCCAGAACTTACTGTGTTTGGTACCTACAGGTAAGTCAATAAATGTTGCAACTCAGATACTCAGGGATGGCCTCAATCCAAGCTCCAAGGCTCATGCATTTTACCAGAAGGTAACCCTCTGGGTGGGGTCTTGTTCAGAACCTACGTATGCTTACTTCTAAAAAGTGTCAAATGGTTCACCAGCTCATATCAAAAGTAGCCAAACAGCCAAGTGGGGGAACTACCAGGCAGGGCACACTAAGGATAGCAAAAATCTATACTGGAGGGTCAGAAAACAAAAAGGTGGGGGCCATTCAGTATAAAGACAATCAAACCTATGCAGGAAACTAATAAAGAAGCCTATAGGAGTTAAGGCAACAAATCCTGCGTATCTCTCCATTTCCACAGGCCCATGTGATTAAGCTCAATTCTATTTTTCTTGGCAAAGTTTCCACTATTCCATTTCCTGGGGTTCCCTCTTCCCTTAAGGCTAGCTGTATATTAAAAGACTACTGACTCCCTAGGTCCCCACTTCCTTTCCAAGCACAGGAGGCTCTTTGCCTTTGTTTTATGGAAGGTAGAATCATAGTACTTATAAGAGGGGCTGAAGTCAGACTGCCTAGGTTCATTTCCTGGCCCTCCCCTTACTGTTGATGTTACCTTAAGCAAATAATTTCACCTTTCTGAGCCTGAGCTTTTTCAACTGCAAAACACAGACAATGAGTATGCATCCTCATAGGGCTGTTATAAAGATTAAATGAGAGTAACTATATTTGGCATATAATTAATGCTCAATAAATACATGCCATTTTAAAGTAGAGGGGCAGTAATAACAACACACTCAAGAAAACAACAAATTTTCAAGAAGAAACAAAAGCGTCAGTATACTTTATGAATAAATGGTACAAACTCAAAGAACCAATCCTATAGAAATACTTGCACAAAGATATGTACAAAGAAATATGTATAAAATGTGTATTATGAATATAACATGTGCAAATACATAAAAGATCTGGAAGACTACATGTATCCTATTTTTAACAGGGGTTACCACCAGAAGAAATGGAATTTCACCTTTTACTCCTTGTATTGCTGTGCTATTTAGTTTTTTTCACAAGAAAACAAAAACTCAAGTATATGCCAGTATTTTAAAGAATATTAAGTAAGGATGGAGGACAAATAAACATTATTTACAAAGAAACAGAAGGGAAAGAAAATCAAAGAAATGAAAATGTTAATAAACAAATTTCTGTTGAGAAAAAAAAATGTTAAGAATATGAATAAAATGCAGCTGTAGTGGGCTTGTAGAAGTATGGGTGACTTTCCACCTCCCACTTACCTACATTCAAAATACTCTTCCACAGTGGATAGTTTTTCAAGAGGGTGGAGGTAGGGAGGGATGACAATAAAAGAACCTCATTTCAAGGTAATTTAATAAATTTACTTACATGTAATCTGCCTCGAAGCTCCCTGTCATTTCTCATTTTCACATAAATTCGCTCATCCAGGCTGAGCCTGATGAGATCCAGGGGCTCTTCTACAGTGTTGGTAGTTTGTTGCTAGTAAAAGAAACAGGCTTAGTAATACAGAACAAGAGAGTGTAGTGTTCAAATCATTGCTATGCTGTGTGACTGTGGGCAAATTACTTAATCCCTGTATGCCTCAGTCTCCTAATTTGTAAAATGGTGGATAGCAATTGTGCCTACCTAATACTGTTGTTGTGAGGCTTAAATGACACATATGAAGGCTTAGAACGGTGCCCGGTACATAAATGAGTGATACATAAATGAAGGCTGAAACATAAGATGCACAGGAAGGAGTTATACAACAAAATAATCCTGACTGTATTGTGTTTCCTCAAACTCCAAACCACCTGGCCGACAAGGAGTCACTCTCAGGGCTTTAGCCTTACCTCAAATACCATTTAGTAATTGGAAAAACATTCATTTAATGACTGCCCCATACTCATCAGAAAGCTAAGCATATTTGAAGGTTAGAGGGAAGATTATGAGTTCGGTACAAGGCAGGTTGAGTTTAGGATGCCAGTTGGCCGATAAACTGAATATATTTGGCAGGCAGCATAGAACACTGGTTGAAAGCACTGGATTTGGAGTCAGGTAGTGTGGTTTCAATTCTTGACTCTGACACTTAAGGACCGACATTAAAAATCACAGCATCTCTAAGGAGAAAGCCACAACCTTCCCTTCATGATTCTTGTGAGGATTAAATGAGCTAATGTATTTAATTAATGTATTTAAGAATAGTACCTGGGAAACAAAGTACTTTATAAATGGTTCTTGTTATTACTGTTGGAAACACAGGTCTCAGATCAGGGCTAGTATGACTTGGGGTCATCCTTATGGAAAGGATGGTTGAAGCCAGGAGACTTGGTAAGATTATTTAAGAAGTGCTTCTTCAGTGAGTATATGCGGCTGAAGGTGAATGAATGTTAAATAGGCTCTACAACTTTATAAAGAGCTGTGGGTGGGAGCTTTATTTTTACCTAAATGGCCAGAGAAGTCCTCTGTGATGAGATGAGATTTTAGTGGAAAGCTCAAGAACAGGGAAAAGGCACTGTAGTTATTTTGTGTCTGCAAGGGGGTGGGGAGGATCCTAACCTCAACTGGTCCCCAGGTCAAATAGGTGTTTGTTAAGGACCAGCTAACCACTAGACTACAGGGATAGAGAAATCAGTCCCTGCCCACAAGGAACGCATTTTAGCAGGGACAGTCATATAAAAAATTACAACACTGTAAGAATATACATATGGCAAAGTCCTACTGCGCCTTTAGCCTCAGTGGGAAGCCTACTGCCCACCCATTTCGCCCAGTAGTGCCCTCTTCAAAGACGCCTCCCTGGTCATCCGGTTTCAGTCACTCAGTAAGCACTTCTTGAGTGTTTCTAGCACTTCTAAACCCCTAGGACAGGGCAGCTAACAAAACAAAACGCCTGCACTTAAGGAACTCACATTCTGGTGGGGGTGGGGAACAGACATTAAACAAAGCACATACTTAATATGAACAAATAACACGCTACGAAGAAAACTAAGGCAGACTGAGTTGAGGTTTATTTTACATAAGTGGCCAGAGAAGTCTTCTGTGACGAGGTGAGATTTTAGCGGAAAGCTCACAAGCTGTGGCCTGATCCACGAAGATATCTGAGGTAGAACATTTAGGGAAGGGCGGGAGAGACGGCCCGTAGGGCCATCAGTGATTCTGTATGCTAGCTCCTGGCTTGCTTCCGTCACACCAACCACAGTTCTTCTGCATCGCCGCCCAGGGCTGATGCTCACCGCGTTACGCTCAACGAGGAGTACCCGCTGCGCTCGGTAATGGTACTGACTCAACTTTACTATCACGCTGCCAGAATCTCGGCAGCTCCGTGAGGCAGGCAGGGATAATTATCCCCATTCTACAGCTAAGGGGGAGACTGCAGAGAAAAGAAGTGACATGCTTGAGGAGTAACTAGTTTTCAGGCGGGCTTCGAACAGCAAAAGATCTGAGGGCCTGAGATAAAATTCGGCGGGGACGCGGTTACCAAGGGGCAGATTAGCGCCGAGATGACCCAGAAAGAGGCGGCACGACAGGCCTCCTTCCCAGGAGCTTGGGGAAAGCAGCCTGGCACGCAAAGCCGAGCACAGCCGGGCCACGAATGGCGAAGCCACTCTACAGCGAGCTCCTCAGAAGACACTTACCTGGTCTACGTCGTCCGCCATGTTTCAAACCCTCCGCTCTTTCCCGTCTCTCGCGATAGCACGCGAGCCTCTCCCGCCTCCGCAAATCACCGGAAGTTGAAAAAAATCTGTTTTGCACTTTCTTCCTGCAGTTTGCATTGGTTGTTTGGGGTAGGGGCGGAGCTTCACCTGGGGAAGAAGGCAAGGTTTGTACAGAAGGGGCGTGACCGTGCCCCCAACCACCCCTGCCCCAGCGCTTGAGGCGGAGCGTCCCGTGGGGAGGTGTTTCCCGGGACCAGGGCGTCCCTTTGCGAGACCTGGGCAGGATGGCTCGGAATCGCGCGGCCGGCAGGGAGCCGCGGGGACGCATACTGCGTAGCCGGAAGGCCAAGGACAAGAGCACGGCCCGGCGTGAGGAGAAGGCGGCAGGTGAGGGCGAGGCCGAGCCGGGCTTATTTAGGGGGAGATGGTGAAAGAGGACAGGAGGCAGGCCCGGGTGCGGGGAACGGCGAGGCCGGCTCCTGGAGGTGGTGGGTGCGGAGGCTGATCCGTGCCCCTCTGCGCTGAGGAGACGACGTTATGGCGCCCAAGGGAGGCAGGCGGTTGTGCCGCTGTCGCGGTCCTCTCCGATGTCGCTGCGCCTTGCCCTCCACGCGAGGAGTGATGCGCTCTGAGCGGTTCCTCCGGGGCACAACCTGACCATGACCTCCCCTGCGCTGCCTCTTTTCTGTGCCCTGTTGCCCACAGGTTAAAGTCCAGCCGCCTGGCAGATGCAAAGGGCAAACTGGGAAAAGGCACTGTAGTTATTTTGTGTCTGCAGAAGACGGACAGACTAGGATGTTATGTTTGGTCAGCGAGTTTTAAGAGGGGTAATATTTCAGGAAATGGCTGTGAAAGGGAGTTATTATAGTCAGAGGGAATGTATTCTGAATATGCAGCAGTCCAAAGATTAAATGTTTTAATCTGATGGACATGCCACCTGCCTGGGGCATTTCTTGTAGCTAAACACGTCACCTGGGCACCAGCTTGGTATAGTTCCACCTTTTAGTAGTTCAGTGCAGTTGGGTAGATTATTTTGGATAGATGATTTTGCCCCTTTGAACCTCGTCTGTGATACATAATACTACCTTGCAGGTGAAATGTAATAGTACTTTGTGAGTTTTCAACTAAATAGCAGATAAAGCTCCTGGCGTGATCCATGTTAGGTAATCAGATGGGCTAGTTATATAAGTTCAGCCTAAATGTAGGTAAGGATGCACCTAAGCTTCACTCAAACTCTGCTAGCCCAAGGAGCTAGCAGTAAGTTCCCAAGGCAGCTTCCGGAAAGAGCTATGATCGTTGTTGTGGGTGGGGGTAGGAGCAATCTGGTTGTGTGGTTTGGGCTGCAGGTGACACTAATTTGGCGGCTATTCTGTGTAGTTTCAAACAGCGTAAAAAGAGTAGGGTTTAACAACACCTGAGTGCATGCAAATAATGGTGACACTTGGCTGCTTTCACCAGTTAGGGACAAAGAAAAATCTTCCACATTATTTCCTTGTTTCTGTTAGGGCATCTTTTCTTGCCAAAGGCGAATTTCAGCCCCAGGAAGTTCACTCTGAATTTGGTGAGACTGAATAGCAACAATGGATAGTTGGGGTTAAAAGGGTTTATGCCAAGCTTTATTCTTGAGATGGTGGGTGGAGGGCTAGAATCACGTCTGCTTTTGGCAAGTTTGCAATCTGTCTTTGCCCCCAGGCCGCTCTGCCTCTGCACCACCCCTGGGAGAGCACTGGGCAGAGCTCCTTAAGTAGCAACACAGACAGTTATGGCTCACCACCAACAGGTGTGCGCACATGCATCTGTGAGCATTGCATGTGCACAGTGGGCAACTAGAGTAGGGTCAGGTGAGGATCTTGGCCATGGTGACTTTTTCCCTACATATCTCTAGTTTCTTCATATTTCTTCTCTATGTTAATTAATGCCTTCACTGACATAATTCATTAATTCCTTTAATAAATACTAAGGACTTATTTCCAGGCTCTGTTCTAGGCACTAGAATTACAGTAGAGAACAGGACAGGCAAGGTCCCTGCCTTCATGATGCCTTTAATCTTTGGTGATGGATAGGTAGGGAAGACAATAACAAGTTAAAAAATAAATCTACATGGTGGCAAGAGCTATGAAGAAAGTAAAACAGGTTGATATAATACTGACATGGGAGTGGGGAAGAAGCAGCTAAGTCAGAATCATTGGTCAAGGAGGTGATATTTTCAGCCGATTTTTGAATATCCTGAAGGAGACATTCATAGGAAGTTCTTGGGGAAAAGAGTTATATAGGCAGAGGAGTCACTAAGATTGAAGACTTAGGAGGCAATGAACTTGGGCAGTTGGCTGGACACAGTGAGTGAGGGGGCAAGTGGTAGGAATTGAGGTGGGAGAGGTGGGCTGGACACTTAATCTGGAGACCAAGCTAAAGAGTTTGTATTTATTCTGAGTGCTGGAGGTGCCACTGGCAGGTTTAAGCAGGTATTTTTATTAAATCTCAATAGATGGCCAAACAAGCTACAGTGGTAATTCCTGCCTTGCTGAAATAACTATGTTGAGTTCAAGAGGCTGGCTAGACATACTAGATAGCTCTACTTCTTGGGGAGTCCTGGAAAATAGCCTCTAGATTCTCTGGGATAAAAAAACCACACAGCAAAGAATAAAGAAAAAAGAATGTCATCCATATTTCTACTGTCCAGAAATAACTACCACTAAAATGATGGTATATTTCCTTCCAGTCTGTTTCTTTATGCAGTAGAAACCACACTGTAAAAACAACTTTGCATGTTTAACTTTTTATCATATATTATTTTCCTTCCTCTTAATAGATTAATATTTCATTGTGTGACTGTACTTTAATTAATGGTTATCTCATGGTTGGAAGCTCAGATTTAAAACATTTTTGGATATTATAAGTAATGATATCATGAATAATTTTTATTATTCAGTTTCCTCCCCTCCCCCCCTTTAACTCCTTCACCTCTTTCTTCAAAGCACAAAATACACAGCTGTAGCTTCTAAGCAACACTTAAGTTTGGCAGGGAGAACCTATGCTTCTGAAGTATCCTCCCACCTGCATTTTTAGATTAGTAAAAATTAAGTATTTAACATCTTTGCTTACTAATTAATGGAGGGCTAAAAACCACCATAAGATCCAGAAATCCTGACTTTACAGGGCTTCTACTCAAAATGTCAATTCATAAACCTTTAAGCAGCTTCTGGACTTCACATAAGAAACCTGTTTCTAGATTCTAAATAATTTTAAAATATTTTATGTTTCCATTACAATGTCTAAAACATGGGAATACATAAATACCTTCTTTTTATAAAACATTAAAGAAACAACTGAATTCAATGATATCACCGAGCATTAAAACAAATAAATGCCCCAATAGTGTTAAATTTTTGAAAATTATTATTTACATCAAAAAGGAGAGTGTTTTCCCCATGCAAAAGTAGATTCTTGGGCAATATAAATACCTAACCAGAGAGTCAGCAGGACAAACCATAAATGGAAGGAATGAATAAAGTTGATATTTTAAGTTGATATTGCAGTTCCTTTTGGAACCTCAATTAAGGCTAGGGTACTTTTGTTTTACAAATGTAATTGAAACAGTCACGCAAAAGGAGATGATTTATTTCAGACTCAAGATTATTTGTATGAATGTATTTGTTGAAAGAAAGATCCTCGCCTGCCATATTTATAAACTGTTTATTAAATTTAGCAATATATTTGTGTTAATAAACAGACTGTACTTTAGATAGCCAGACTTAACTAAAGCCACTGGCTTATGTATTTTTTATATTTCCCTTAAACAACAACAACAAATAATTACTTTAAGAAAATAAATGTATTTTTGAGTTACTACTATCTTTTTTCAACCCTCAGCTTGCTGAGGTGGTTGGTATACAAGTGCCATTTGGGTTAGATTGGAAAGGTTAAAGTGTGTGTTTTGAGCAGAGTTTGTTTTTGAAAGATGGCAGAAACATGGATTAATAGAAATACAGTGTAAAACTTGGACATGTTTATGAACTTGAAGCATTTTGCTTAATAATGTAGGTTATCCCTAAAATAAATAGTCTTGACAGGTGGTAAAAAGCAAGATGTTGTTAATTAATGGATTGATGTATTTTCCTTGCTGGATATTAGCTGAAATTTAAAATTTTGAAGTTAGATACTGAGTCACGAGATGGTCTCTTTGTAGTCTTAGGAGGAGAAGAATAAAATGCCTGTAAAGGAAAAAGGTTTTTACTGTATGAGAAGAGTGGAGGCCAGACTGAGTGTGGCAAGAGGCTGAAATTGGTTGTTGACCAGATATAGACGGTGAACTAGTTACAGAGATGTGGTTTGGAGGGAGGATGCACAAAAGTCTTCTCATGACTTTGCCCGTGAAACCACACTGCCTCCACCTTTCCTCTTGTCCCTAACCTGATGTTCCATGTGGTCTTCTAGGTGTCTTTGAAGATGAGAAACCTCTAAAAAAGAGCCTTCTCTCAAAAGTTTCACAAGGAAAGAGGAGAAAAGGCCGCAGTGATCCTGGGGGTCCAGCAGATAGCCCAGCAAAAAAGAAAGTGGCCAAGGTGACTGTTAAATCGGAAAACCCCGAAGTTATAAAGGATGAAGCCCTCAGTGATGAGGAAGATTTCAGGTGAGATGGTTGAAAAGCTTCAACTGGATCTTAATTCAGAGAAGTATGAATAAGGAAACCTGCTCTTTTTGCTTGTCACTAGGATCCGAGGAAAAAATGAGATCTTTAAACTCTTCAAGTTAGAGCTCAGAGCACTAGTAAAAGCTGGAAAGAATCTTAGCTATTATAGAGCCTTCCTTCCAAACTTTCCAGATGAAGACAATGAGAGCTTGCAGAAAGTGATTTGTTTGTGGTTGTACAGCTAGAGGGTGGCAGAAATGAGGATGAGACCTAGGTTTTCTAACTCCTGGTCTAGTGCCTTTTCTACTATACAAAGTTATTCCATATACAGAATATTTACATGCCATTCCAGCTTTCTCTTGGACTACTCTCCTCAGGTACACTAACTGTTCTTGCCCAGCAGGAACTTCCCGTCATTCACTGGACACACGCTCATACCTGGCTACCTCTGAGTCGTGTTCATGTTCTTTCTACCTATAATACATCCTTCCACCTTGAAGATGCAGATCACAAGCCACCTACTCTGCAGTCTTCATTGATTCTTCCCCTTTCTCCTCTGATTTTTTGCAGCATCTCTTAAGCATTTACAGTGCTGTGTCTGCCTTGTGTTATGCCTACTTGTGTCCATGGCATATACCCCTGCCTACTACCCTATAAGCTCTCGGAGGGCTGGAACCATGCCACCTGCATTTTTGTGTGCCCTGTGACCTCTAGGCAGGACCTTTCATTTGGCAATGTCCGCTTTTCCAGCAGCTTCCACTCCTGGCGTGGGACAGTAGTCCAGGAGAGGGCAGCCATGAAAGGAGCACAAGAAAGCATGCAGATTCTCCACCGTGGTTCATCTCTTCTTTTCCCTTAGACTTGTAAGAATGCCTCTGAGCTTACTGCTTTCCAGTTGCCTCTCCCCACTAGTTGAAATCTTCTCTCTAGAGAAACCCAGGTACAGACCAGGATGCTGCAGTGAAGGCTCTGGATCTCCTTTTCCCTCCAGTTGAGAGTTGACTGCATCAAACCCATGGACATGGACATTTCTGCTAAGAGAAATTCTTTGTTTCTATAGAGAGAAAGTGGTAGACTAAAAAGGGAGTGTGTGTCTTTTTTTAGGACTGCAAACTGAGGATTGGTTATTTTAAATGTGCTAAAATCTTGAGTAATATTCTCAGTTGATACCATGTGTCACACCTCACAAAAACTAAAAGTGATTCAATACTCTATAAACACATATATGAATTTGCAGAAATGTATTACATACTAGCAACCATTTAGTTTGAGCCAATATTTAGCTAGCTACTTATCTAACCTACTTAACTAGCTACCTGTCCCATGTTTCTGTTATTTATGACATACCTGTATAGAGTCACATCCCTTTTTATCTTGAAGTTAGAATTTTACCAACTTCAGTTTTCCTTATATCATATTTCTTAAAGGTGGTGGAAAATCTTCTGATTTGGCTCACAGTAGGATCAGGAAATGTGAATTCCCTTCTCCTCATTCTGGCATCCAGCTGCATGTGTAGACACACAGATATGATAGCTTTTAGTTCTGGAACTCAGATTATTGTGGTTTCTTCTAACTTTTCCCATACCATTTCCAGGCCTAGCTGTATCTTCCTTCATGCAGCTCTAGGTTACAGGTTCATAGTGTTCTTTCCGTTTTGACAGCATGTCTAGTATTAGATAATCAGCACACCTTGCTGAGAACTTGAGACCCATGCTGGTGAAGAAAATGAGGCTCAGAGCTTCAGACCATCTCTAAATAACTGCAGCACATTTCCAGTACATAGAAGAAGGAGTCCTGAAGATTCCATTTGACTTAAATGTAGCACTAGGATGTCTGAGCTTTCTGCACCTTCCTTCCTGTGATTTTTACACAGGGACTTCTCAAGTTCCCCCAAGAAGACACATCATCCAAAGAAAGAGGCCACTGTGGATGGAGGCAGCTGGGAAGGAGATGAGGAGGAGGAAAGTGAAGATGATTGGGAAGAGGTAGAAGGTAAAACATCTTTCTCTGTTTTCAGAATGGTTTGATTCTGTTTTTCTGTATGGTGCTGTTTGGAGCCATGTCATTTACTACAATCCTGTTTACCCTTGAAACTAATACAACTGAAGATAAGGTTGCAATAGGGACTTGTTTATGATGGAAGGAAGAATTCATGACCAGATGACCAAAGAAAACTGTATATTCTCTTCCTCTGGTGGCTGTCAGTGGAGTAGATTATAAAGTAGAGAGGCAGCAGCATCTCATAGAAAGAGCACAGGCTTTGAAGGTATTTAGACCTGGGTTCAGAGTCCAGCTTTGCCATTTATATAGCTGTGTGAGCAAGGAACTCCAGCTGTCCAAGCTGAGGGTCTCGACTGGTAACATTCAGTAAAAAATTGAATGCTTAGTATGAATAAGCACAAGTCTATGCTCCAGGATTGCTGTGGGGGGAAAAAGTTTGCAAATGTAATGGTGCGTCCCGACTCAAATAGTAGCTAATGTTACCATCCCTGATTCCTTCTGCCTAGCATGATTTTTCCCAGCTTTTTATTTTGAAAATGTTCAAGCCTACCAGAAAAACTTTTTACAAATTGAAAGTTTGTGGCAACACCAAAAGAAAAAGCAAGTGTATTGGTGCTGTTTTTCCAGTAGCATTTGCTCACATAGCCTCTGTGTCACATTTTGATAATTCTCAAAATATTTCAAACGTTTTCATTATGTTTGTTATGGTGATTTGTGATCAGTAGTTACAACTCACTGAAAGCTCAGATGACTAGCATTTTTAGCAATTAAGTCTTTTTAATGAAGGTATGTACCCTGATTTTTTTGACAGGGCTGCTGCACACTGTAGACTACTGTAGAGCATAATCATAACTTTCATATGCACTGGGAAAACAAAAAGTTCATTTGACTCACTTTGTGGTGGTCTGGACCTGAGCACACAAAATCTCTGAGGTGTACCTTTCCTCTTCTTCTGGATTCACCAACTCTAACATTTTGCCATATTGAATGTACCTTTCTCTTTGTAAATATGCATTGTGGAGCCATTTGAAAGTAAATTGCAGACATCTTGATACTTCACTTCTAAATACTTCCCATACATTTCCTAAGATTCTCCTGCATAATAAAATAGTATCACATCCAGGAAGTGAAAAGTAAGTCACCAGTTGGTACAAAAATATCCTTCATTTCTGGTTTCTCTTTCTTTTTTTTTTTTTTCCAAATGCAAGATCTAATCAAGGTGTAAACCTTATATTTAGTTATGTTGCTTTAGTCTCTTTTGACCTAGAATAGTACCTCTGACCTGCCACCTTCCCTTCCCCTCCCCACTTTCAAACATCGCTGTTTCTGAAGAGTCCTGACCTCTTGTTTTGTAGGATGTCTCATGTTCTGGTTCTGTCTGGTAAACAATTAGACATCACATGGTGGTGTTAAACTTGTTTCAATATCCCCTGGTTTCTTTCAGTTGTCAGTTAAGTTCAAAGACTTGATTGAATTTAGGTTAAATTTTTTTTTTGACAGGAATACTTCATAGCTGTGTACTTCATATTGCATCTGTTAATAGGCACATAATGTCAGGTTGTCCTACTAGTGATACTGAGTTTCATCATGTAAGGTGGTATTGCCAGGTTGTGCCAATATAAAGGTGCTTTTTCCCTCTGTAATTAACCATATGGAACTCCGATTCTGTGTATCTTCTTCCCAATAACTATTTACTTAATGGTTTTAGCATGCATTGATAATCTTGATTGAATCAAAGATTATTATATTGAGCATTGCAAGTGGGAATATTCTGTTTCTGTCATTTCATATATATTTATTAGCTCACTTTGATCTCTAAGCTCTCCCTTTTAAAAATTGTAGTCATTTTGTTTTCTAATGACTTTAAAATTGAGGTACATCCAATAAAATGTATAAATCTTAATGTACAGCTTGATGAATTTTGACATGTGTATGCACTCATGTAGCTATCACCAAGATCAACACACCAAAGATTATCCCTAATATTTTTCCCTCTTCAACTATTTCACCCACCTCCCAACCCCTTCCTATGACAACTAAGTATGTTCTCTGCATCTATCAGTCTGTTTCTGTTTTGTTTGTTTTTATTTTTTAGATTCCACATCTATGTGAAATCATGGTATTTGTCTTTCCTTGTCTCATTTACTTAACATAATACCCTGTAGGCCCATCCATGTTGCACATGTCAAAATTTCATTCCTTTTTATGGCTGAGTAATATTCCTTTGTATATAGGTACCACATCTTCCTTATCCATTCATCTTTTTTCTCCCTGTTGTTTGCATGAAATATCTTTTTCCATCCCTTGACTTTTAGTCTGTGCATGTCTTTGGGTTTGAGGTGAGTCTCTTGTAAGCAGCATATAGATGGGTCTTGCTTTTTTATCCATTCTATTACTCTGTGTCTTTTGATTGGTGCATTCAGTCCATTTACATTTAGGGTGGTTATTGAAAGATAGGTACTTATTGCCATTGCAGGCTTTAGATTCATGGTTACCAAAGGTTCAA